TAGTAGTATATACACACACTCTCTCTCTCTCTCTCTCTCTCTCTCTCTCTCTCTCTCTCTCTTCTACACACACACACACACACACACACACACACACACACACACACACACACACACACTCATCTGTTCATGCATTTATGGCCTGATGAAAGTATACCCAATGGAGAAAAGAATGCATGTAACTGTGAAATATGAAGAATGTGAATGCATTTTTTAAACTGAGGCATGATGTTTAAGTATGTTAGGATGGACACCCCGGCTCCGTTTATCTCTATAATAGCCCAGTTATTTTTACTAAACGATCAGGACTGGCTCTAAGTGACCTCTAATGATTTAAAACCATTTTCTATCATTCCATGAGAAAAAATACACAAGTCATTGAGAATAATTGGCAAAACGTATGAGCTAGTGAACGTTTTATCTTTATTTAGGAGACGTCGTCTGCAAGATCACCTCGGTTTTCATCCATTGATGTAAGAATGAAACTCTAACAGTATATTCTTCAAGAGAGCTAGACAGCTTCAGAAATTCATCAGTCCTTAAAGAAAAAAAACATATATCTCTCTCCATTTCTGTAAAGGCAATATTCATGTTCTGCCATTTTCTGTAATATATCCAAATTCTGAATTTGACACTCTTAGTATTACTATTGGGAAAATAAAAAAGTCTTACAACTTCTTTTATTGGCTGTGTGCGTGCGCGCGCACCACACTGTGTGTATGGTGTACATACAGAGTGTGTGTGTGTATATATATATATACACACACACACACTCTGTATGCACACCATACATATATATATATATATATATATACACACACACACACATATATATATATACACACACACACTCTGTATGTACACCATACATATATATATATATATATATATACACACACACACACATATATATATATACACACACACACTCTGTATGTACACCATACATATATATATATATATATAATGTAAAAAGAACAGGAGTACTTGTGGCACCTTAGAG